TGGGGGAGGGGAACATTACAAACACAAACAATCAAACTTATAGATGAAGGGATGAGAATAAAATATTGACCATCAGTCCACATGTTCCCTTGACTAGTCCTCTTTATAGACTGAGCAACCCTTACTAGACTACCTCTGGTAAACATGTAAAGCCAGCGTCATTCTACTGAAGTTTTTTAATACACCATCATTTCTCAGGATTCTGAAGAAAAGGATTGAAAGAACTCTGAAATGTCATAAAAAATAACTGATATTTGACTGTAATAACAAGTTCACAAAAACAAGAAGATATTTGTGATGTATTCCTCACTTCTAATAGTTGTTCAAATCTGATAGGTTAAATACAAATATAACAGTTATCTTGTGGAAACTGAGTATAAGGTGATTATTATTAAAGGTAATTTTCAATAATTATATAAAATAACAAGTTAAAACTGTCAACATCAGATATAATCTCTTTGATCTTGGTATTATGGTCTTAATTAAATCTTTTACATCCTGTAAATCTAGTCTACTTAAACAACTATTGTGGCCTATCTACATATGTCCTGTTAATCAAGTCTACTGTAACAACTATTGTGGCCTATCTACATATGTCCTGTTAATCTAGTCTACTGTAACAACTATTGTGGCCTATCTACATATGTCCTGTTAATCTAGTCTACTGTAACAACTATTGTGGCCTATCTACATATGTCCTGTTAATCAAGTCTACTTTAACAACTATTGTGGCCTATCTACATATGTCCTGTAAATCAAGTCTACTGTAACAACTATTGTGGCCTATCTACATATGTCCTGTTAATCTAGTCTACTGTAACAACTATTGTGGCCTATCTACATATGTCCTGTTAATCTAGTCTACTGTAACAACTATTGTGGCCTATCTACATATGTCCTGTTAATCTAGTCTACTGTAACAACTATTGTGGCCTATCTACATATGTTCTGTTAATCTAGTCTACTGTAACAACTATTGTGGCCTATCTACATATGTCCTGTTAATCAAGTCTACTTTAACAACTATTGTGTCTTAGGGTGCGGGACACGAAGACACAAAAAATCTCCAGTCGGTTGTTTTCATGCTAAACAGGCCTATTATTTGGCATTGTTTTAGTCTAGGCCACTTGACAGATCTTGTAGTTTTTATTGTGCTGTAAGTCATGTTAAACAGGCCTATTATTTGGCATTGTTTTAGTCTAGTCTAGTTGATAGTTTTTTATTCATTGTTCTATTTGGCTGTCTTCACTGGCTTAAAAAAAAAAATATTAAAAATTGTACCAATATCAGCAATATCTCACCTTTATCATATATTACTAGTGTATATTGTGTATATATAGGGCAGGGTATGCTTACCCTGAAAACACCTTATGGTTCAGAAGTTACCATTACAAGTTACATTATGTAAAAGGATGTAGAATTCGAGGTAGTACAGAGAGATGGCAGTTTTATTCCTCGAAGTTCGGGTACTGACCAAAAAACAATTTAAAGGAATTTTGTAGTTGTTTACAGAATGCAGGGAGATTTGTTTTCCTCCAATTGAAATGTTTTTGGGCAGTGACTATTGGGAGGAATTCTGTATTTTGTGCATAATGAAAATATAATTAAAACTGAACAAACTCTAATACTAATATAATGTCATCTTTACAATAGCTTGGAATATTATTAATTCTACCACAAACTAAAGCTCACTGTTTGTGCAAATGTTAAGGAATGTTTCTGGATGTGCATGAACATCCTAGCGCTAAGATTGTTTCAACAATACACAACCAGTACTATACCTGAATATTTACATAATAAAATAATATTGATATTGTTTATATCTTGACAATATTTATATTATACCTGAGAGATAATTATATTCTATTAATTTATTGATTAGTAATCAGTAGGGAAATTACTGATAATAGATACAATAGTTTGTACATATTTTACCTGCAGTGATTGTTATCTCCCCTTAGAGACCTGTATTGTTATTGTCATTATACTCATACATATAGAGAAATATAAAAACAGTACCTAAAACATGTTGTTACTTAGAGTTTCACGCTATGCGATATGTAAGCTTAGTTTTAAAGTTCATTTGGAGCTTTTAGTTCCAACTGGTCCAAAACTTGCTGAAATATTGGCAGTTAGATGCCAGTGTTCAAGCTATTATGATCTTCCTCTTATACCTTGACTATACAGTAGACACTATTCTTTATCACAGAATGCAGCGATTTATGTCTCAGACTCTGATTGGCTATATTCACTAGTATACAATCCAATCAAATGGCTGCTTTCACAAACTTTCATGATACAAGAAAGGTGTCTACTGTTGTCAAGGTATAAGATGGAGTGCATTATAGCTTGAAATTGTAAAGATGAATTGTAATATTCATTCAGTCTATTTCAATTGATTAATATGCATACCATCAAATAATACTTGTATAGAATAGACGTAGAGATAAAAATATTTGAATTCATTGTAAATATATGGTTGATTAACTACAGAGTAACAGAGATTAATTTTAGTCCACTAAGAGTCAACAAGGTTCATTTCATTATGACTTCCTCTGACAAAAACATTGAGTGCAACCTTCATTATTGTGACTAATAAATTAAATAGATTTTACAATCTGTCCTGATGATGGAGGTCGTACCTGAAACATAGGCTGATAGCTTAAGATATATAACTTCATAATATAACATAAGATCCATTCTGGATTTCTTGAATGATATACTGATGAAAAGAAACAATAAAAAATAGTTTTTGGAATGAATTAAAAACAAATCACACTAATTATTATCATGAAGCTTGTAATATTGTTACTACTTTGTGTTACTTAATGAATATTTTGTCAACTTTCAGTCTAAGATTATTGCTAAATATATAAATATACCTTTTTTTAATAAATATTGTGTGTTAGTACAGATTATCAACAAGATTACAACTATTTTATCTTTTATTTTATGAATATTTGATGTCATTTCAGATTTATCGAAGAATCGTCTACAAGAATTACCAAGTGAAATCTGTGATTACCATTCTATAGAGAGAATCAATTGTTATGGTAACTGTATCAAATCCATTCCACCAGCAATATCACATTTACAACAACTTACTTATCTAGATCTTAGGTAAGTTGCTATCTCATTTACAACAACTTACTTATCTAGATCTTAGGTAAGTTACTATCTCATTTACAACAACTTACTTATCTAGATCTTAGGTAAGTTGCTATCAAATTTACAACAACTTACTAATCTAGATCTTAGGTAAGTTGCTATCTCATTTACAACAACTTACTTATCTAGATCTTAGGTAAGTTGCTATCTCATTTACAACAACTTACTTATCTAGATCTTAGGTAAGTTACTATCTCATTTACAACAACTTACTTATCTAGATCTTAGGTAAGTTACTATCTCATTTACAACCACTTACTTATCTAGATCTTAGGTAAGTTACTATCTCATTTACAACAACTTACTTATCTAGATCTTAGGTAAGTTACTATCTCATTTACAACAACTTACTTATCTAGATCTTAGGTAAGTTACTATCTCATTTACAACCACTTACTTATCTAGATCTTAGGTAAGTTACTATCACATTTACAACTACTTACTTATCTAGATCTTAGGTAAGTTACTATCACATTTACAACTACTTACTTATCTAGATCTTAGGTAAGTTACTATCACATTTACAACTACTTACTTATCTAGATCTTAGGTAAGTTGCTATCTCATTTACAACAACTTACTTATCTAGATCTTAGGCAAGTTACTATCACATTTACAACCACTTACTTATCTAGATCTTAGGTAAGTTACTATCTCATTTACAACAACTTACTTATCTAGATCTTAGGCAAGTTACTATCACATTTACAACCACTTACTTATCTAGATCTTAGGTAAGTTACTATCTCATTTACAACTACTTACTTATCTAGATCTTAGGCAAGTTACTATCACATTTACAACAACTTACTTATCTAGATCTTAGGCAAGTTACTATCACATTTACAACTACTCACTTATCTAGATCTTAGGTAAGTTACTATCACATTTACAACAACTTACTTATCTAGATCTTAGGTAAGTTACTATCTCATTTACAACAACTTACTTATCTAGATCTTAGGTAAGTTACTATCTCATTTACAACAACTTAGTTATCTAGATCTTAGGTAAGTTGCTATCTCATTTACAACAACTTACTTATCTAGATCTTAGGTAAGTTACTATCACATTTACAACAACTTACTTATCTAGATCTTAGGTAAGTTACTATCACATTTACAACAACTTACTTATCTAGATCTTAGGTAAGTTGCTATCTCATTTACAACAACTTACTTATCTAGATCTTAGGTGAGTTGCTATCACATTTACAGCAACTTACTTATCTAGATCTTAGGTAAGTTACTATCTCATTTACAATAACTTACTTATCTAGATCTTAGGTAAGTTACTATCTCATTTACAACAACTTACTTATCTAGATCTTAGGTAAGTTGCTATCTCATTTACAACAACTTACTTATCTAGATCTTAGGTAAGTTACTATCTCATTTACAACAACTTACTTATCTAGATCTTAGGTAAGTTGCTATCTCATTTACAACAACTTACTTATCTAGATCTTAGGTAAGTTACTATCTCATTTACAACAACTTACTTATCTAGATCTTAGGTAAGTTGCTATCTCATTTACAACAACTTACTTATCTAGATCTTAGGTAAGTTGCTATCTCATTTACAACAACTTACTTATCTAGATCTTAGGTAAGTTACTATCTCATTTACAACAACTTACTTATCTAGATCTTAGGTAAGTTACTATCTCATTTACAACCACTTACTTATCTAGATCTTAGGTAAGTTACTATCTCATTTACAACAACTTACTTAGTAAGATCTTGAATAAGTGTTTCATTTTATTTTGATTATGAGTAAGAATATGCTTTTGTCTAAATGGGGAATACTTTTCTCAGTGTTCATTTTGATTGAACTTGCCAAAATAATCAGTTAATGCATACTTCCCAATACTTCCTAATTTCACCAAAGTCCTGATAGTACCCGTAATTTTAGCGAAAAAGTCAAGAACCTGAGAGCACTATCGAGCACTACCTTTAGGGAAAGATCTGGCGCATTGGCTGGATATGGTCCCCGATATATTATCATTTTTATCATCCTGTAACCTACGTTTGAGATGTAGAGAAACATTATTACCAGTTGATTTGTTCGGATGCTTTCAATTTCTGCCACACACATGATGAGTTATTGCCCTTGTTTATTTCAGTCGTAATCAGTTAACAGTGCTACCAGCGTATATTGGTAACCTTCAGTCTTTAGAAGTCTTAATAGCTGCCAACAATAAACTAGTCTCCCTACCTGAAGAACTCGGAATGCTCGAGAAACTTCACGAAATTGTAAGTTAAAGATTCTATTGATTATATTTAACAATTGATATATGAGGGCTTTATTCTGGTTATTTAAGACTAATAACCCCCTAAAATCTGTGTGATTATTAAAGTTGATTATTTGGTAGAAACAGGACAACAATAGTAGATGGTCACCTAGTCACATTTGGTGTCACCTGAATTTTTGTTAAAATCAGTCTTGTTCAATTAGAAAATGGTTTTGCTGTGTCTGTCTGTGTATGATTTTAAAAGGATAACAACTTTGATGCACAGGGATTTACCAGCTGATTCGCAGCCAAACCTCTTGGTAATGATTTTACAAGGATAACAACTTTTGTTGGCGAGGATCCTTTCTACCAGCTGATCCTTGGCCAACCCTCTTGGTAATGATTTTACAAGGATAACAACTTTGATGCACAGGGATCCTGTCTACTAGCTGATCCTTGGCCCAACCTCTTGACATGTTTTATTTTGTATTTGATAAGATAATAAGATATTATTTGACAGGATGTAAGCTGTAATGAAATCTCTCATCTCCCGCTACAAATTGGTGATCTCACTTCTTTACGTAGTTTTAATATTCGTAGAAATTTACTGGTAGAACTACCATTAGGTAAGTTTAACATGTGTCAGCTTGACGTCTGTCAGTTTTTATTAGGGTGGAGACAATAATATCGGCTCTATCTTGATGCTAACGGCAGACGACTTTGTTAAGAAATTTAATCGGCTCTATGACTTTTTGAATGTAGTATGATTAATTATTAAGTTTTTATATATTCATTCTTTCACCAATGGGTTTGCTTCATTTTGTTGGGCTCTTTTGAGATATACTGCATAATGCTGGATACTTTATTCGTTAGTCATAATGGAGTTGTCTCCCTTTATTTTATTAAATCTTAATGAAAGTGGAATGTCATATCTTCTTCTTTGACTGCACAATATTAGAGCGATAACAATACTGCCATGCAGAATTCCATGAAAACTTTTTTGACAAAACAGCATTACAACTTGCCTATTTTGATTTAATTGCCAATTTCCAATTGTTAATGGAATTTATTGTGGCATTCTTGCCAACATGGAATCCTGCAAATTCATGACTCCTGGTGTACAAACAGAAACTGGTTTTCGCTCTCTTTCATAACCCAAGAAACTTCAGAAAAGTAGGATTCAAAGTTTTTCATTGTATTTCCAACTGTAAAGTATCCAGGAACTATTTCATTTACTTCCTTCCATTTCTATAAGATTACTTAAATTTTATATTTTGATCATTTTCAGAAATAAGTCGATTAAACTTACGCAAGATTGACTTTTCTAACAACAGAATTGAGAAAATTCCAACAGTTTTTCGTAAAATAGATACATTAGAAGAGATTATACTAAATAATAATCCTTTAATATCACCTACAGCTCACGTAAGTAGAACTTACTCTTTTTAGTAATATAGTTATTTGTGTAGTTCTATAGCACAGTCGGTCAGAGCGTTTGTTCTTTACACAAAGTCATTTTCATGGCTAGGTCAAGCAATTGGCGTCTGTGGGTTCTAACCTTGATTGGCATGTGAAGATCTGACCTTGAATAAGTCTTCACTCATAATTCCTGTCGATCCAGCTATAAATGGGTACGGTTAATCTCGGAAAGATCAATGCCAAGAGGGTTGGCCAAGGATTAACTCTGAACCTAAGTTGTTATCCTTGTAAAATATATTTGTTTCTTTCTTTAATATGCTTTACTTTCAACACTATTGAGAGTTTTCTAGCCACATAATGGCGTAATATATATCTGAGCTGTCATTGAGGCAGTCGTCATGACATCACATAACATCGTTAACATCGAAAACTTGGATTTTTTACAGATATGTACGAAGGGGAGAAAACACATAATGAAATATCTCCATATAGAAGCCATAAAGGAGGAACGAAAGCGAGGTATTTTACACGAATCAGAGATGAAACGATTGGCTCGTAAATCATTGCCTCCTCAACAGTAAGTTTTATTATTACCTCCCTTTGATATAACGAAATATAGTGGCAGAGGATAACTCAGTCAGAGGATAGCTTATAGGATAACTCAGTCAGAGGATAGCTTAGTTAGAAGATAGGTCAGTCAGCGGATAGCTTAGTTAGATAGGTCAGTCAGCGGATAGCTTAGTTAGAAGATAGGTCAGTCAGAGGATAGCTTAGTTAGAAGATAGGTCAGTCAGCGGATAGCTTAGTTAGAAGATAGGTCAGTCAGAGGATAGCTTAGTTAGATAGGTCAGTCAGCGGATAGCTTAGTTAGAGGATAGGTCAGTCAGAGGATAGCTTAGTTAGATAGGTCAGTCAGCGGATAGCTTAGTTAGAGGATAGGTCAGTCAGCGGATAGCTTAGTTAGAGGATAGCTTAGAGGATAACTCAGTCAGAGGATAGATTAGTTAGATAGGTCAGTCAGAGGATAGCTTAGTTAGAGGATAGGTCAGTCAGCGGATAGCTTAGTTAGAGGATAGCTTAGAGGATAACTCAGTCAGAGGATAGCTTAGTTAGAAGATAGGTCAGTCAGAGGATAGCTTAGTTAGAGGATAGCTTAGAGGATAACTCAGTCAGAGGATAGCTTAGTTAGATAGGTCAGTCAGAGGATAGCTTAGTTAGAGGATAGGTCAGTCAGAGGATAGCTTAGTTAGAGGATAGCTTAGAGGATAACTCAGTCAGAGGATAGCTTAGTTAGAAGATAGGTCAGTCAGCGGATAGCTTAGTTAGATAGGTCAGTCAGCAGATAGCTTAGTTAGAGGATAGGTCAGTCAGCGGATAGCTTAGTCAGAGGATAGCTTAGTTGAGGATAGCTTAGAGGATAACTCAGTCAGAGGATAGCTTAGTTAGAAGATAGGTCAGTCAGCGGATAGCTTAGTTAGATAGGTCAGTCAGCGGATAGCTTAGTTAGAGGATAGATCAGTCAGAGGATAGCTTAGTTAGAAGATAGGTCAGTCAGAGGATAGCTTAGTGAGAGTATAGGTCAGTCAGAGAATAGCTTAGTTAGAGGATAGGTCAGTCAGCGGATAGCTTAGTTAGAGGATAGGTCAGTCAGCGGATAGCTTAGTTAGAGGATAGGTCAGTCAGAGGATAGCTTAGTTAGAGGATAGGTCAGTCAGAGGATAGCTTAGTTAGAGGATAGGTCAGTCAGAGGATAGCTTAGTTAGAGGATAGGTCAGTCAGAGGATAGCTTAGTTAGAAGATAGGTCAGTCAGAGGATAGCTTAGTTAGAGGATAGGTCAGTCAGCGGATAGCTTAGTTAGAGGATAGGTCAGTCAGAGGATAGCTTAGTTAGAGGATAGGTCAGTCAGAGGATAGCTTAGTTAGAAGATAGGTCAGTCAGAGGATAGCTTAGTTAGAAGATAGGTCAGTCAGAGGATAGCTTAGTTAGAGGATAGGTAAGTTAGAGGATAGGTCAGTTAGAGGATAGGTCAGTCAGAAGGTTGCCGTCTGCTGTTTTTTTTTATCTGTGGATGCCAGCTTACACCATACAGGGTACCCAAGAGTCTTCTTTGAAATTCTTGAATAAGAACCTTTTAATACTCACACATCCACTTAACCCACGGCGAACGATTGGGTGCCAGGGGCTTGTTAAGAAGAGCAGTAACCCAGTAGCCTAGGTCTCTTGGATGACATGTGAAGAAGAATAATATTCATGCCACAATAAGTGCTGTTAATAATCTGTCAAAATTCATTCTAAATCTTTTGCATTCCTTTATCTATTTCCTTTGAGACCAAGTGTGCATGATTCAGACTGACAAAAAAAAAATCATCATTCGGCAATTTGTTTGTCAGGGGAAATAACTCTAATTATATAATTTATTGGAGTTGAGTCTGCGTGATATTGCTACTGACTGTGAGTAATTTAGGACTGTGGAGAATTCAATTTCATTTGAAGACTCTTTTATGGTGTAGTTTCAGGCATTTTCCCAAGTCACCTGCAAGCATCAACCCTATTATGAATATTATAATCAAATCATCTTTATTTTTCAGAACTTCTGATGAATTTCGTAATATTGTCGAGAGTCCAGATTCGAAATGGAAACGTCACACCGTTTTATCTAGCGACTCTGGTTATAGTACCACTGACAGTCTGGAGAAATGTGGCTGGTCTCCATCAGAGGTTAGATTATCCAGTCTTATTGTAAACGGCATGGTTCTATTTATAGTTTCATTTTATTTCTATCTGGTTACAGTCTGTATTTCTACGTTTAAAAATAATTTTCTTTCCTAGCACTTACAGAATGTTTCCTTTTTAAAAATTGATTTTATTTCCTTTGATGTAAAAAAATGAGTTTCTAAGATATTTATAATTTATAGAAGAAAAAGAAAGACGTGATTTCTTTTATCGATATAGTTGTGCGGTTTTGGTTTACCGGCTGATATTCCAACTGTATCGCTTTTCGTAAGTGACAATTGAAATACAAGATCGTCTCTGATAAGATAATTACGGGACAATAATCCCTGGACAGAAATATTTTCTATTATCTGTATTAATTCTTAGAATTTGATTCAAGATAGAAACTTACTAGAAATGCTAGTAGAAATATAATCATCAATCTTACTAGAAGTTGAAGTCAAGTTTTATCAGGTGATATCAAGATTGGTGATTATATTTCTCTACTAGTATTTCTAGTTAATTTCCATCTTGATTCAAATTGTAGAAGATTTTTTATAGTATTAAAACAAAATAGTTTATGACTGGATAACCAAAAAGAAATGAAATGAAACTTGGCCTTGTTGTCAAATATTATAATTTATTCTTTTAAGTTTATTAGATTTTTATTGTGATTTCAAAACAGTTTCTGGTCCAATATTAATAGATTTTCTAATTGTGTAGATGTGCTCTTGTTAATTGGTCAAGTTTACTACAAGTTATCTTATGTTGACTTTACTGTTCTTATAATAGTAAGCACTCTCTGAACCAGTGAGTTTTGAGGTCACAATAGAATTCTGAGAATTATGTTATATAAAAGTGCATGATAAATCAATAATCAGCTCCAGGAATAAGTTGTCTATTGGCATGATGTAGTTACAGGAATTGTAAAGAAGTTTTCTTAATTTTTTATGTGTATCGGGGACACTGATATCATCAATTTGCACCATTCCAATTTCCAGTCAGACGTCTGTGGTTCTTGCAATGCAACTAAAACTAACGTGTTTTATGATGTTACTCATTGCAAAATATGCCTTATCACATAAGGACCTTGTGATTAGTGACATCATAAAAGGAATAGTTTTAGTGGAATTGCAGGAATCACAGACGTCTGATAGAAAATTGGAATGGTACAAATCAATACTATCAGTGTCCCTGATACACAATTTCTAGTACAGTCAATGTTATTGAGAGAGATCTTGATCTCTAATTATTTCCTTTTATATCTGATAGAGCTTATTCATGACCAGCCATTGCGGTTAGTACTTATAAAATAATGTGACCTCGTGATAAACTGGACATAGTTCGGGTAAACATTAGATTTAAAGGCTGTTATGTCGTAAAACTCGATTAGAATAAATGTTGACAGAATTTAATGCTAAGATTTAAATATTTCAAGATGACTCAAAATAACATTAAAAGTTATAAAATATTGTTCATGTCCTTACCATTGACCTTGAATAAGTCATCTTCACTCATAATTCCAGTCAACCCAGCTGTAAATGGGTGCAGATCCATGAAATGCCAAGAGGTTTAGCAAAAGACCAGCTGGTAGAAAGGATCCTTATTATTCCAGTCAACCCAGCTGTAAATGGGTGCAGATCCATGAAATGCCAAGAGGTTTAGCAAAAGACCAGCTGGTAGAAAGGATCCTTATTATTCCAGTCAACCCAGCTGTAAATGGGTGCAGATCCATGAAATGCCAAGAGGTTTAGCAAAAGACCAGCTGGTAGAAAGGATCCTTATTATTCCAGTCAACCCAGCTGTAAATGGGTGTGGATCCATGAAATGCCAAGAGGTTTAGCAAAAGACCAGCTGGTAGAAAGGATCCTTATTATTCCAGTCGACCCAGCTGTAAATGGGTGCAGATAATGTAGAAATGCCAAGAGGTTTAGCAAAAGACCAGCTGGTAGAAAGGATCCTTATTATTCCAGTCGACCCAGCTGTAAATGGGTGTGGATCCATGAAATGCCAAGAGGTTTAGCAAAAGACTAGCTGGTAGAAAGGATCCTTATTATTCTAGTCGACCCAGCTGTAAATGGGTGCGGATAATTTCGGAAAGATCAGTCCCAAAGGTTCAGCAAAGGATCAGCTGGTAGAAAGGATCAGCTGGTAGAAAGGACCAGCTGGTAGAAAGGATCAGCTGGTAGAAAGGATCGTTTGGGGACTTAAGGTGTTATTCTTCCCCTTACTGTACAACTGAAAACTTAAGTGATGTCTTAAACTTTATTAACTTTGATAGGTTCTAGCAAAGTGGGATGATAGCTCCATCAGATATAAATATAAATAGATAGAGAACGAGATCTCGTTATTATATATATAGGATATTAAATCTCAGTTTCATCTTAATAATTCTACTGATTTCATTATACATATCTATCATTTTCATATACACACAGGTTTATACTTATATAGAAAAATAACTCAAAATCTATGACATGTCAACTGACTAATGAATTGAATTGGATTTGTACCAAAAGTTTTGATGAATCAGAGTTAAACCTAAGTGTATTGAAATGATAGATTTATTATTTTCATTATCTATATCAGAGCATGATTGTTCAGATTTATTTATTTTAAATATGGACAAATTACTGAAAGGATTTGTGTAACTTGTTTTTGCAGAAGTTGACCTCAGATCAAAAATTAAAAATTCACCAAGTTTTATGAACTTTGCTTTATCTTTGGGAAATAATTAATCTGAATTTTGTATACTTTGTCCCTATTTGAAATTATTTTGCTTTATTTGTTGTTGTTGATTCAGTTAAATTGTTTGCACGTTTATTTATTTATCCGTTACCTAGGTAACCAATGATTTGGATGCCGCCAACAGTTTAGCTCTGAAAGCTGCAGAGGCTGTGAGAGAACATCGCCATGGACGTGACGGGGATTATCATCGAAGATTCCATGATACGCATAAAGTGATTCCCAACAACCTGGATACGTTTGATCATACCCTACCCCCTCCCCCGTATTCTCACCCTCATAATTCTCACCACCCCCAACCCCTGTCCCCCGTGAACGAACCACCAACACCAACAAACCTTGTTCCACCCTCTCAACTTTTGACACCACCGGGCCACGAGGATGAATTTACGCGGGTTAGTGTTTTTTTTCAGATTTTCAAAATTTCCCACTGGATAATCCGAGCTAGACACATTGCAATCACCCTTCTTTAAATCGTACCAACTTCTGTTGTATTTTGGGATTTCAAAACTGCATTTATAATTTGCCGGCATTTTTTGGGGGGAAAACATTCATAAATTATATAGGAATATCAGGCACATGAAAAAATTTGACGCACATGAAATTTAAAAATTAATTTTACAGGCTTTTTCTAAAAGTTATAAAAAATATTAACAGGCCTACATCATCTCCATAAATTTGACTTCATTGAGAAATTTCTTTGCTTTTTTTAACATTTTTCTTCATCAATTTGAAGTATTTTGAAATCCACTAATACAAGAGAAATGCTATAATAAATATTTTACGCTTACAAGCCATGCTTTGTGTATGTATAACGTTACTTGACTTTCTCTCAAGAGAGAATTTTCACTGGTGAAGGAAAAAAAATATTCATGCACCTCATTATATTTTATGTTTTGCTTAATTGGTGTAACTTTGCTTCTACAACTATCGCTTTATTTATCTTTTCTACAAATTTCAATCATTATTGACTTCTTTATTTCAGGTCCAAAATATTTCCGTAACTAAATTCAAAATTTACTTTTTCGCTTCGATAATGTTTTGATAAATTTTGTGCTCTAGATATAGTTTTAGTCGTGTTTTGCCAAATTCATAACGCAGAGTTTAAACATTGTTTCATACTAGTAGATATTAGTGCTGGATATCGTCAATTTTGCCATGATACGATATATCTCGATACAAGGGTTAAGTTACGATATGTTTCGCGATACAAGGGATACGATATGATACGTAACACGATGCAAGGGTTAAGATACAATATGTTTCGCGATACAAGGGTTAAGATACGATATGTTTCGCGATACAAGGGTTAAGATATGATACGTATCGCGATACAAGGGTTAAGATACGATATGTTTCGCGATACAAGGGTTAAGATATGATACGTATCTCGATACAAGGGTTAAGTTACGATATGTTTCGCGATACAAGGGATACGATATGATACGTATCTCGATACAAGGGTTAAGATACAATATGTTTCGCGATACAAGGGATACGATATGATACGTAACGCGATGCAAGGGTTAAGATATGATATGTTTCGCGATACAAGGGATACGATATGATACGTATCGCGATGCAAGGGTTAAGATACGATATGTTTCGCGATACAAGGGATACGATATGATACGTATCGCGATACAATTAGGATGAAAATTAACATTTTATCTTCAATATAATTTAATTTATAACTTTAGAAATTTGATAAAACAACTGGCATGTCGTATGGCGATACATCAATTGACCAATATATCATGCCAGCACTAGTTGACATGGGAGTACCAATGCTTTCACTTTTTAACAAGAAGTGGTACAGCCCTGTCTACCTGGTAACACGTACCATGTTACTAATTTTAGTGGAGCTCAAATTTAATCCAAAACTTTAACTTGGAATCACAACTGTTTTCATCTTGCTTCGCTTTGCAAAAATTTTTTATTCATCACCTATTACATATCGTGTTTGATTCATTCCGACACCTCATCTCATTTCCTGCTTGGAATAATCACCCTTGGTGTTGTCACAATCTAATTCAAATTAGACCCAACTTTCCTTTCGTTTTTTTCTATTAGTTTTAATTTTTAGTATAGCCACTTCACGGTAGAGTCTCAACCGGAGTCTCGCACATCCCATTCTTTGACCTAATCAGAGTCTTGAATATTCGTCAAATTAACCTTTGACCTAATTTGATGACATCTACTTTAACCCATCAAATTCCTTTAATCTCTCACAGAACATCAAAGCTGGAGAGGGCAGAAATTTGGTTAAAGAAGGTTAGATCAAAAGGTTATTGAATGTTCAAGACTCTGATCGTTAGACCCTGCTGTGAAGTGGCTATACTAAAAACTAATGAAAAGATAAAAGAAAGTTGTGTCTAAATTTGATAAGACTGGTGTTATCAGAACTAACTAATTTTATTATAAACTTATTACATCATTAGATATTAATTATACTACTCTTAGAGTTTTACTAGTCCAAATAGAGCATCTTGACTTGAATTAGTGTTGTTTTTAAAATGATCACGGAACCTTTACCTGGTCCCTTAACCGAGACATTGTGGCAGCTATCAAATTATATTGAGATCGAGTTCACTTTTTATGAGATTTGTTTAAATTTTCGCAAAAATATTTTGATTTTAGATATTTTTTCCATATTTTTATGTTTTCTAAATGAATTGAATTTTTATTAATCAAATGATAAATGCATTTCAGAGATAAGGGTTTTGCAGAAGTTTACTGAATTTTTCACTGATTTTAATTAATCTTTTTCAAAAACTTCATTTATAGTCTTAATTTACTGCCCAAAAATGGTGATTTTTCTTCGATTAATACAAAAAATGTAATTTGTCTGTTGCAGGAACTACAAAGACAGAAGAGCGACTATGACAGACGGAAAAAACTTGCAGAACAAATTCGAATTCAGCAAGAAGAGGAGGAGAGGGAGGAACGTAGAAGGGCCGCCGTCAAAATACAAGAGGAACAGAAATTACTTCTCGAAAAACAACGGGATGAACTGAAACACAGGGAGGAAGAAAAGTTAATAGAAGAGTCAAGAAGGCGGGAAGAAGAAACGAGACGATTGGAGGATGCCAGACGTCACGAGGAAGAGAAACGAAGGCAGGAGGAAATCAGAAAGCAGGAAGAGCTTCAGCGTAAAGCTGAGGAGGTCCGTCGTCAAGAAGAGAGTAAACATAGGGAGGAAGTTAGATTAAGAGAAGAGCAGAAAACTGCTGAAATTAAGAAACCTAAAACAGAATCAAATACAAAGTAAGTTTTTTTGTTTATTGAATTATTGAATGAATACCAGGGACATTATTTTTGAAAACTAAAAATAAGAAAATCTTTGAAAAAATGATAACCATCAGTCTATTGCTGGTGCATGATCAACACTTATATACAGCATTTAACTCTGAGACTAGGGTATTAACTCGGAATCTCTTTCAGAGAGTTCACATGACTAAAATGTTTTTTATTTAGTTTATTTGTTATTTGGCTTTGGCCTGCTTTTAAAACATTGCTGCATCTTGACTTTAAAATCAATTAATGATCTGGGCTTAAACACGATATTGAAATGTTATTTATGAACTTTTATTTTGCTTTAGCACGCTTGCTTCTGTAACATTTGATAGTTTTAACAAATTTCTATATTTTTTTTAATATTATAAAGGTTAAAATTAATTTGGGGTCAATATTTCTAAAACTTTATTCAGTTTACTTCCTAAATATTAAAATAATTACTAATTTCTGAAGGTTTTCACCAAATCAACGTTCAAGCGAGAAAATTTTAATATCAAAGAAAATTACAAAAACTACGACACGTTCTTCACCAGTGAGGTTTGTAAGAGGATTCTGTTTCCTTAAATCTTGATCCACCAATAATATATATACATACATCTTCACAATGGTCAAGGTATTACAAGCTTCTTCTTATACCTTGATTGCAATAGCCACCTTTCTTGTATCATACAAGGTTATAAATGTAACGATTAGATTAGATTGTATGCCAGCGAAAAACAGCCAATCAGAGGCCTTGACATAAAGTCTGTAAACAAAAGGCCATAATTTACAGTCTTTCTGTCAAGGGCTCTGATTGGCTGTATTCACTGGCGTACAATCCAACCAAATGGCTGCTTCCATTATACGAGAAAGGTGGTTATTGTAGTCAAGGTATACGACAAAGTTTGACATTGTGAAAATGACCAATAAGATACAAGAACATAATAATGTTGTCATGGTAACGTACAGGCTGTTTGATTAGAGATTCTTGTCAAATCAGTCATTAAACATGAGGAAAGAAATCAAAAAGAAAATGGCTGGCAACTGCAGATTTCAATCATCTAAGTTGACAACTATCAGTATTTTACAGAAGATACAACACAAGAAACTGACGGCTACAGCAATTTTTTCATCTGTTTATGTAACCTTTGACCTTGTTCAATTTAGCCAATGAGCAATCACATTGACTCAATATTTTGTTTCAAAGAATTTCATTGGCTGAAAAAGCCTTCTCAAATCGAATTAAGTGACACAATATTGTGTAGGTGGATCACGATTTTATCATCCTGGTTTTCAAGTCATTCTGGTAACGGACATCATTACAACTCTATAATATATATCCTACGTCTGAAACATAACTTCTGTTCTCTACTCTCTGATACTGCTATTTTACAGATGTCACATCAGTACAGTCAAAAAAACATTTTAAATTGTTACAAATTTCTGTTATTTTTATTATCAATATATTTATGAAAGTTGTCAGAGGCTAGAAAACGTTATGTTTTGAAATTATAATCTTCTAAAATCCCAGATATATATATATTGCCCTATACCCAGTAGATTATATTCATATCATATCATTATACTCTAGTTATTGGTGAGAGGTTTATATAGAAATTAGTTCATTCATCCTTCTATTCTGCTAGTTAATTATTAATCAATTATAAAGGTAAATGACAGTATCAAATCTCTAAACTCTTCAGTGAGTTACTTAATAATGGGATGGTATAACTGGACATGTTCTTTTTTAACTCTACATCTCTCATCTGGACCTACTTTGACGCCAGTGATGTCAGTCAATTGGTCTGTTAGATTGTGGGTGTATAATCTATAGTTTAAATACGCTGTAATAGTATTGTTTGATCAGTAGAGTTTCTAAATTTTTTATAAAATCTTTGAAATTTTAGGCCACCATGACTTAAATATCTGAAGATAGTAAATAAACTAAAATTAACTACATAAAAAAAATAAAATCTATCTACCAGATCTTTAAACTATGGGTTATTTTGATTTATGCCAAGTTTTAAGATATTTTTAGAATTCAGATGTTTTTATCTTCTAGTCTAAATATAACAGTATGAAAGTTTTACCTTCAATTCTTGATTAGTGTTCTTAGATTACTCTAATTTATAGATTATACAGGATACCACCTTTCGTACTAGTAAGTTTTGGGGTAATAATTTGGGGGCAGGGACTATTCCAGTCTTATAGATTATACAGGATACCACCTTTCGTACTAGTAAGTTTTGGGGTAATAATTTGGGGGCAGGGACTATTCCAGTCTTATAGATTATACAGGATACCACCTTTCGTACTAGTAAGTTTTGGGGTAATAATTTGGGGGCAGGGACTATTCCAGTCTTATAGATTTAGACAGGATACCACCTTTCGTACTAGTAAGTTTTGGGGTAATAATTTGGGGGCAGGGACTATTCCAGTCTTATAGATTTAGACAGGATACCACCTTTCGTACTAGTAAGTTTTGGGGTAATAATTTGGGGGCAGGGACTATTCCAGTCTTATAGATTATACAGGATACCACCTTTCGTACTAGTAAGTTTTGGGGTAATAATTTGGGGGCAGGGACTATTCCAGTTTTATAGATTATACAGGATACCACCTTTCGTACTAGTAAGTTTTGGGGTAATAATTTGGGGGCAGGGACTATTCCAGTCTTATAGATTTAGACAGGAAACCTTTAGTTTTGGGTTGGGATATTGATTTGGGGCAGGGAGGCTGTTTGGTAGGGTAAGGTTTTGTACTCAGAATTTATTTCGTAGTATAAGGCTATCTGAGTATCATAGTAGTAAGTTTTGGGGGAAGGGAGGTAGTTTGGTGGGAAATGTTTTAATCTTGAAATGCAAGGAGTTTTATGATGTTTATAATTTATTAGAAATGTTGTTGTTAGTAGTAGATTAACTTAGTTTTAAAGAACGTTTTGGAATATTGAATTGACAGTAGCCAGAGATAAAGGTTAAAAGATGGAAAGGATATATTAGATATAGGAGAGAAGTCTTAATCTGTAATCTTCATCAGTTCAGACAATAATTTTACTACAGTAGAAACTGTATGGAGAGGCCACTTAAGGGAATAATGGAAAACGGTCTCTTAATGGAGTTGGTCTCTTAGAAGAGAATTGGGTCAGAATAAACACCAGAATTATTTTGTTTTGATGTAGTATGAGTCTATATAGGTACTAGATACACAAATTAAAATCAATACTTAAAAATATATCCAAGAACTGCAAAATGAAATGAAATGAATGGAGTTTTACGTCCTATTTTTCTGCACCATGTGGGCTAATGAAGACAAGTAACGCCATGCAGAGTGCAATGAGGGAAATTTTGCCAGGACAGCGGCATTAGCCTGCTCTTTTTAGATTTCAAACTGTCGAGGGATCTTTAACGTGCACAGCCTGTAGCACATGGGGCCTCGGTTTATTGTCTCATCTCCAAGAACTGCAGTGAAAATTGGAAACAATGAAGAGTATTTTAATATAAATTGTTTATTACAAACATCTGTGTATTGCCTATTGTATTAAAGAATATTAAATACTCTATATCTAGCATGGCTTAAAATATAAAAATATGTACAGTACATTGCTTAACTTAACTCTTTCTTTCAGCTTTATAATATGTTCTGACTACTTTTTGAAATGTTTTCAATCAAAATTTGTCTTGAGTTATCAAATCATTCTATGTTCCTTCCCCCAAAAATGGTGGATTGGGTTGAAGATATTGGTGATATGTTTATCTGAGAATGGTGTAATTATTTAGAAGGCTATATCCTCTAAATATCCAAATTACCAAATATTATTCAAACTGTAGTCAGAACATATCTATCTCTGTAATACAGATGATATAATTTTGTATTATTACTATTTTTTGCTAAGTTTTTGCTAAACATTTTTTCTAACCTGACTACATTATCTAACCCTGGTGATGGAAATAACGATATCACATTTTCACCATGTTAACATAACATTTTCAATATTTAACTTCTGTCTGACCACTGTGGTGTTTGAATCGTATTTTCAGTCTTGACAAAGCACCAAGCGCTTAAGCAACAGATCTCATCTCATTCTGCTGTCATGTGTTTCAGATACATAATCTTCATCAGGACAGCTAGGTTTGGGAGTCTCTGAGAGTCTTTGGAACTCAAACAGTTTGATACTTGTAAAGTGCTTTCGGTGAAATGACTGGAAAATTTCAATTCAGAAACCACTTTAGTCAGACAGTAGATATTGAACATTGGGTTTATTTTAACCTACAACATTTGTGATATGCAAAATTCAAACCAAATCTTCTTGAAAATAGACGATTAAAACATAAAAAATATGTTTTTTTTAGAACTTGGCTCTTGATACTCAAAATTCAATTTGAAAACGACCATTTGTCAATTTACGAAGAAAACAATATTTGACAAGTTTGTTATCACATCATGCGCATCTTGACCTGAATTGCTGCCATAGTTATTCCCCTTGGAATGAGCATGATCTAAAATCTTATTTTCAGTCCGTACCCTGGAAATCGCTCGTATCAAATACCAACAATGCATGATGGGTATAACAACGCCACCTATTTCTACCCTCCACCGCCAGATATCTATCAGGATAGTGATTACTCTAACAACCAATCAGATCACTGGGATTATAGGTAGGCATTCGGCAACTCTACCATGATTATTGTGTCGTCAAATTCAATCTTTAAATTGTAAAAACTCAGAGTACCTGACGTGAAAAAAGTCAGATTTTGAATATAAATGTTGTCTAGTCACAAGAACGTACCTCCATTTTACTGACACTGCATGGTTAACTGTTTTCCTTTTATTTTTGCACTTTTTTTATCTTTGTTTATTTGTTATTATGGCTCTTTGCATTTTGAGTTTATTACTAAATATTATA